TTTCATCTCTTACACTGTCCATTGTCTACCTTCAGCCACATTTCTATTATTTGTCCCCTTTGGCAGGGGCTATATATCCAACCTTATGATGGGTTCCCCTTTCCCCCTCCCTGACCATCCCCTTACCCTTATGATATCCCAGTCATCTAGCCGGGAAGCAAATAAGCTCGCATGGAAGAAACATACCAGCCTGTGTGATCATGAGGTGTTGACAGGATCAGGTATCAGATATCAAAGATCCTAAACAAGCAACTATATTGATGCAAACAAGTGGGGTTGGAGTGAAAACCTAAAGCCCATCTGCAGACAGTTGGATATCCTACCCCACAGAAGGGTTATAAGGAAGGGATGATTCAACAAAGGTGTTGTATAACAACCAACAAATCACACATCATTCCTCTAGTTCCTGAGTGCTCCCCCCCACCCCCAATGACCCAGTTTTACCTCACAAACCTGGCTAGACCAGAGAGCACACAATGGTACAAATATCAGCTCTCAACACACGGAATTCAGGACAGATAAACCCCTCAGAAATAGTAATGGGAGTAACAACCAATCTTTTCTGAGGACTGCATGCCAGAGATAGTGCTGAGAACATTACATGGGTCCTCTCATTGAATCCTCATAACAACCCCCTGAGTTGATGTTATAATCTGCATTGTTCAAGGTAAGGAAATAGGCTTAGAGAGGTGAAGTGCCTTGCTCAAGGATGCATAACTGGTAAGGAGCGTCAGGTTCTGCATCTAAGTCACCTGACTCCATAGCTTATGCTTTTCATCACCCATATCTTGAGGTCCTGCAGAACCTTCGGGAAGCTCAGGGGAAGAGATCAGAGGATGCTTTCCTAAGAGGTCAGTCCATCCTGTAGAGGGAGAGGAGCGCCTCTGAGACATGGGGGGGCTTTCCCACTAGGGGGTTGGCAAGAGATGCTCTGAGAGGGAGGGCAGAACTCCCCCCACCCCAGGCATGGGTCTGCATCTGCTGTAAGTCTCGGGGTGAAGAACCGTGCTACTTCCCTGTGGGGTACCTGCAGAAGACACCTCTCCCTATCTAAGAGGGACAGTCCTGACTCCAGGATGTATCAAGGAGCCCTAGTTCCCACTCCAGGTACCTGTTCCCTCTCCTGAAGCAGCTGGCCATGGCAACCCACTTAAGCTCCTTAGTTTGGCCGGGGCACAGGATTAGCCATCCCTAAGAAATGCCTCCCTCCGGTCCAGGCAGGGATCCCAGTGCACACACCCCTGGAGTTTGGCGGGAGTGGGTGGGGTGGGGGATGAGGGTAGTGGAATGCTTCCTCCTCTCCAGCCAGGGAAGAGATCTGAAGACCACCCAGGGGCCCTCCCCCCTCCCCATGCCCTCCTGGGGAAGCACCGGCCCAGTGCCCCTTCCAAGGCCACCTCCCTCCTGCTAGCTATGCTGGGGCATGAATCAGCACTCGAGCTTGTTAAAGTGAGACCTCTTGTTTTCATGCCTCCACCTCAGGAAACAGAATTACAGGTTTCCAGCTCTGCTCAGCAGTGGGCCAGGGTCCTCACCCTATAAACATCACCAGGCCTGGGAAAGCAGAGGGCACTGAGAAGGTGTGACACAGGAGCCCGGGACAGAAAGTGAGAAGCTCAAGGAGAGAAACCAAGACAAGCCCTGGAGACAGAGGCCCGAAGGTTCCAGTGCGCGTGCTGCGGGAATGGCCCTGAGGATGCTCTGGGTGAGCCGGGCCCAGGAGGCTCCGGGAGGCCAGGGGCTCCTCTGCTGGCTGATCTCGCTGCTCCTCCAGCACCCAGGAGTCCACAGCGTGTGCTACTTCCAGGTGCAAGGTAACCCTGGGAGGTCAAGGTGGTAGGAAAGGACAAAGGCGCAGGGAGGGGAGGGGGGCCCTTTGTGATGGTGCGGTGTTGGCATGGCAGAAGACCTGGCCTCCTCTCATCACTATAGCGGAAAAGGAAAACTCAGCAGGAGGAATGTGCCGCCGATGCTCTTCCACCTCAGACCTGAAGGGTTTCTCTCTGCCCCCCGTGCCCCGCCACACTAACATGTCCCCTTCTTCCCTAGCCCCATGCCACTATGAGGGGAAATATTTTACCATGGGAGAATCCTGGCTCCGCAAGGACTGTTTCCACTGCACCTGTCTGCACCCGGTCGGCATGGGCTGCTGTGACACGTGAGTGGCATGAGTGACTGAGGGCTGGCAGGGTGTATGAGGTGAGCCACACCTGGAGGCACCAGCAAGAGTGCAGATTTGGGTGACAAATTGAGGTAGGTAAAGGTGTGTCTCCCAGGAAAACAATCCTGTGATACCATCATGAGTCCATAAAGGGAAAGTTAGAGCTGAGTGAGGGGTGGGGGACAGCAAGGAAGCAGTGGAGGAAGATGTGGGAGGAATGCTGGGAGTGTGATGTGGGGCAGGTCCAGGGGGCCCTCCACTCTGTTGACTCCTCGCTCCCTCCTTTGGTTCCGTAGGTCATTCCGTAGGTCCCTGCACCCCACCCACTTCCCTGCTGGGTGTGAGGTGCGTCAAGAGGCAGAAACCTACCAATTCTCCCTGGTGCAAAAG